GCCCGACCATGGCGGGCCCGCTGCTCGTCTGGGAGTCCGGCGCGACGTTGTCCGTGCACGGCTTGACGGTGGCGCATTCCGCTCCCGTCCCATCCAGTGTCGGTTGGCGGCGGCGACTTCAAGTTCAGGTCGTGCGCGAGCACGCTGGTTCGGCGCCCCCTGGCATCTCTGGGTTCGGACCCGCGAGGCCGCCGACTTCCGAGGAAGGCGCACGAGCGTGCCGCGCTCCATGGAGGCGCGCTGGCTCGAGACTCTCCGCGGCGCCCGAATCGCTCGCCGCCGCGCGGCGGGCTTTCAGGGCAACCGCGTGCACGTCCGAGACCCACGGCGCCAGCCTCTGCGGCGTGGGCTACGCCGAGCCCAAGCAGACCTTCCCCGGCGACATCATCTGCCGTACCTACGCCTTCGCCGCAGACCTGGCGCGCGCTGTCCAGTCCCGCGCGCCTTGCGCGGGCCTCGACTTAAAACACCGACGCATGTGCCATCTACGGACGCACTCGTCGGTGGGGGAGAGCCGAGGGAGACGCCGCCCCCCCCGGGCCGACGGCAGGCCTTTCAGACCACGCCCTGGCCCCGCTTGAACCCCCCCTCCGCTCAGTCGAATCAACTGTGCTTAAACAGTTCATGAGCCAACTGATAGACCACTGATCGACTGGACTCTCTGAGTAGTCATGAACGGTGATTATGGTGGGCGCCAAAACACCCCCTGGCGACCCTCCCGCCGGACCCCGGCGCATCAGGGGTCCGTCCAACATGTCTTCTGGAGGACCAAAGCTGAAAAGCAGCCATCCATGCCGAAACTCGGCTGTGGACGGGCTGCCAAGCACGACGCGCGCCGCGGCTCAAACCTGGTCAACGACCCCAAGAAACGCGCATTGGGGACACCCGCGACCGCTTCGAGACCCTCTCAGACACCCCTCGAGTGCCTCAGCCGCGTAGATCGTCCTCTGGGCCCGGCGCTGACCGCCACGACCACTCGGAGCGTTCGACGCGCAACGCCGGGGCTGCCACGCGCGCGTGCGTAATCTCGGACATGAGCAATCCGCGGCACGCGGGGAATCTCATCGCGGCACTGTCCCTTCGCGATTCCCCGAGCGCCGCGGATCGATCGATGCCCCAGGACCGACATATCGCCCCTCGACGCGTCGAAATGGCCCGGATCCAGAGGCCCCGTTCGCCCCGAAATCGTGCTCGTCTCTCGAGATCGAGAGCGGCGCGTCGAAGATCGCCCGCCGGCGCGGCGCGGGCTCGAAGGCCGCCGGGGCGCCCGGCGGACCGAGCCGCCGAACGCGGCCGTCAAAGTCGGGCGCTGCCCATCGGATCGGCTTCCCAGTGCGCTGGAGCAGCTAGAGATCTTTACGGCCAGCGCGTGTCCCTGAGCCAGTGGAGAACTAGTACTAGTTCGGATATACACCTTTGTGCAGTGCATGTAAGTAAACGTCATACTCATTTCCTCATGGCTGATGGGAACTTCACGGCTGAATCTGCGGCTCAGGTGCGTCATCTTTTTCTTCATCGCAGAGAACGTTACACAGCATCAAGCCGAGCTGAACGACTACCTTCAGTCAAAGTCAATAAATCAGCTTTTTATCCAGATCGGTACTTCGAACAAATATCATGCGCGCGGGTAGAGTCAGGCATTGTAGTTGAATCATTACTAATCGAAAAGCCGGAAAATCCCATTGGTTTCATCGTCGAGTTTCTTCAGAAGAAGTGAGACTTGTTTCGAGAGAACCAAACGACATCTACGGACCTTGATGTAGGTATCCCGATCAGGCAGGAGTGGCCTCGGTCTCGGGGCTGTCACAAGCCGCGAGGGACATCGGAAATCTCAATTCAGGCGAAGCAAACGAGAAAATTTCCGGAGACGATGATGATGACGACGAGGAAGGGGAGGAGGAGGAAGAGGAGGCTTACATGGATGAGATGCCGGAGAATACAATTTTTAAAAGGGACAAGAAGCGTGTGTCGATTTGTGCTGAGGTTATCCAGGAAAATCACGACGATGTGAAGGAGTTTGATAAGACGCTTGATGAACGAATCCGCATCCTTGAAATTCTGGAGTAACTGCCCCTGGGTCATAGCGGCCGATTTGATTAATGGCATTTATTTGATTCTTAGGCAGCAAGTACTATTCCGCTACCTTGAGAAAGAACAGAAGGAGTTCATAGCGCGGGCGATGTTTGTCGTCGAGTACAAAGCTGGTGACACGATTATCTCGCAGGGCGATGATGGTGACAACTTCTACGTTATCGATCGTGGCAACGTTGAGTGTTTCAAGTGCGAGAGTGGCGTAGATGACGAGAAGCTCGTCCACACATACAGCCCCGGCGGCGCATTCGGAGAACTCGCGATCATGTATAATGCGCCGAGGGCAGCAACGTGTCGAGCAATTTCAGAATGTCGGCTCTTTGCTCTTGATCGGAAAGTGCGGGATTTTCTTT